CTAGTTTAACATTAAAAATATACAATTCTAATAAAATTCGTAAAAATATTTACATGTAATGTGTAGATTTTTTTTGTATCCGTCTTTTCTCAATTTCTTCATTGCTTTCAGAAAACTGTGCCTAAGAAGCTAGAATAACATTAAAAATCTAAGCCTAAAAAAAATTCGTAAAATATTTACATTTATTGTGTAGATTTCCTTGTATCCGTCTTTTCTCAATTTCTTCATTGCCTTCAGAATTCTGTTACTGAGAAGCTCGAATAAGAAAAATATCTAATCCTAATGAAATTCGGAAAAATATTTACATGTAATGTGTAGATTTTCCTTGTATCCGTCTTTTCCTAATTTCTTCATTGCTTTCAGAATTCTGTGCATGAGAAGATAGAATATTAAAAATATCTAATCCTAACAAAATTCGTAAAAATATTTACATGTAATGTGTAGATTTTTCTTGTATCTGTCTCTTCTTAATTTCTTCGTTGCCTTCAGAATTCTGTGCCTGGGAAACTGGAGTATTAATCTGGAATATTTACATGTAATGTGTAGATTTTCCTTGTATCCGTCATTTCCTAATTTCTTCATTGCTTTCAGAATTCTGTGCATGAGAAGATAGAATATTAAAAATATCTAATCCTAACAAAATTCGTAAAAATATTTACATGCAATGTGTAGATTTTCCTTGTATCTTCTTTTCTTATTGTCTTCATGGCCTTCACAATTCTGCCCCTGAAACGCTAGAATAACAATAAAAATATCTAAGCCTAATTAAAATGGTAAAATTATTTACATGTAATGTGTAGATTTTCCTTGGATCCGTCTATTCCTAATTTCTTCATTGTCTCTATATCTCTGCCCCTGAAAAGCTAGAATAACAGTTAAAATATCTAAGCCAAATATTATTCCTATTATTCCTAATGGCGGGAATGGGTCTAAATCTATCTATAAGAAATAAAATAATAAAAACAAAAAAGCCATGGCAACCCTGTTAATATATTTCTTGTTTTGTCGGTGTCACGATATCTGTTTCCTGTGGAAAATATTTCAAAAAAAAAGAGATAATAATGATTATGACAAAGAAGATAGGCAAATATGATACACATATTACTAAAAAGGTTTATTATTAAATATTCAGTAATAAACATAATACTTCGTGCATTATTGTATCAGTAATAATATAATCAGGAAAATATTATGTCGACCTAAAATCAAAATAAACAACAGTTTGAGAGAGTAAAGCCTGCCTAATGAAACACATGTAACATATTTACCTGTATCCACTTTTCCTAATTTCTTCATTGTCTTCATACTTCTGTGCCAGTCAAGCTAGAATAACATTAAATCTATGCCTAAAAAATTCGTAAAATATATACATTTATTGTGTAGATTTTCCTTGTATCTGTCTCTTCTTAATTTCTTCATTGCCTTCAGAATTCTGTGCCTGAAAACTGGAGTATTAATCTCGAATATTTACATGTAATGTGTAGATTTTCCTTGTATCAGTCTTTTTTCAATTTCTTCATTGCTTTAGAATTCTGTGCCTGAGAAGCTAGAATATTAAAAATATCTTATCCTAACAAAATTCGTAAAAATATTTACATGCAATGTGCAGATTTCCCTTGTATCTTCTTTTCTTAATTTCTTCATGGCCTTCATAATTCTGCCCCTGAAACACTAGAATAACATTAAAAATATACAATTCTAATAAAATTCGTAAAAATATTTACATGTAATGTGTAGATTTTCCTTGTATCCGTCTTTTCTCAATTTCTTCATTGCTTTCAGAAATCTGTGCCTGAGAAGCTAGAATATTAAAAATCTAATCCTAACAAAATTCGTAAAAATATTTACATGCAATGTGAGATTTCCTTGTATCTCTTTTCTTAATTTCTTCATGCCTTCAATTCTGCTGAGAACTAGAATAAAAAAATATCAATCTAATAAAATTCGTAAAAATATTTACATGTAATGTGTAGATTTTCCTTGTATCCGTCTTTTCTAATTTCTTCATTGCTTTCAGAAATCTGTGCATGACAAGCTAGAATATTAAAAATATCTTATCCTAACAAAATTCGTAAAATATTTACATGTAATGTGTAGATTTCTTGTATCTTCTTCTTAATTTCTTCATGCCTTCAGAATTCTGTGCCTGAAACTGAATATTAATCTAATATTTACATGTAATGTATATTTTCTTGTATCTGTCTCTTCTTAATTCTCATGGCCTTCATAATTCTGCCCTGAAACTAAAATAACATTAAAAATATAAATTCTAATAAAATTCGTAAAAATATTTAATGTAATGTGTAGATTTTTCTTGTATCCGTCTTTTCTTAATTTCTTCATTGCCTCTATAATTCTGCCCTTGAAAGCTAGAATAACAGTTAAAATATCTAAGCCTAATATTATTCCTAATGGCGGGAATGGGTCTAAATCTATCTATAACAAATAAAATATTAAAAACAAAAAAGCCATGGCAACCCTGTTAATATATTTCTTCTTTTGTCGGTGTCACGATATCCTGTTTCCTGTGGAAAATATTTCAAAAATAAAAGAGAAAATAATGATTATGACAAAGAAGACGGGCAAATATAGATACACATTATTACTAAAAAAGCTTTATTATTAAATATTCAGTAATGAACGTAATACTTCGTGCTTTATTGTATCAGTAATAATATAATCAGGAAAATATTATGTCGACCTAAAATCAAAATAAACAACAGTTTGAGAGAGAAAGCCTGCCTAATGAAACGCATGTAACATATTTACCTGTATCCACTTTTCCTAATTTCTTCATTGTCTTCATACTTCTGTGCCAGTCAAGCTAGAATAACATTAAAAATCTAAGCCTAAAAAAAATTCGTAAAATATTTACATTTATTGTGTAGATTTTCCTTGTATCTGTCTCTTCTTAATTTCTTCATTGCCTTCAGAATTCTGTGCCTGGGAAACTGGAGTATTAATCTGGAATATTTACATGTAATGTGTAGATTTTCCTTGTATCAGTCTTTTTTCAATTTCTTCATTGCTTTAAGAATTCTGTGCCTGAGAAGCTAGAATATTAAAAATATCTTATCCTAACAAAATTCGTAAAAATATTTACATGCAATGTGCAGATTTCCCTTGTATCTTCTTTTCTTAATTTCTTCATGGCCTTCATAATTCTGCCCCTGAAACACTAGAATAACATTAAAAATATACAATTCTAATAAAATTCGTAAAAATATTTACATGTAATGTGTAGATTTTCCTTGTATCTTATTTTCTTTATTTTATTCATGGCCTTCATAATTCTGCTCCTGAAACGCTAAAATAACATTAAAAATATCTAATCCTAATAAAAATCGTAAAATTATTTACATGTAATGTGTAGATTCTCCTTGTATCCGTCTATTCTTAATTTCTTCATTGCCTCTATAATTCTGCCCTTGAAAAGCTAGAATAACAGTTAAAATATCTAAGCCTAATATTATTCCTAATGGCGGGAATGGGTCTAAATCTATCTATAACAAATAAAATATTAAAAACAAAAAAGCCATGGCAACCCTGTTAATATATTTCTTCTTTTGTCGGTGTCACGATATCCTGTTTCCTGTGGAAAATATTTCAAAAATAAAAGAGAAAATAATGATTATGACAAAGAAGACGGGCAAATATAAATACACATTATTACTAAAAAAGCTTTATTATTAAATATTCAGTAATGAACGTAATACTTCGTGCTTTATTGTATCAGTAATAATATAATCAGGAAAATATTATGTCGACCTAAAATCAAAATAAACAACAGTTTGAGAGAGAAAGCCTGCCTAATGAAACGCATGTAACATATTTACCTGTATCCACTTTTCCTAATTTCTTCATTGTCTTCATACTTCTGTGCCAGTCAAGCTAGAATAACATTAAAAATCTAAGCCTAAAAAAAATTCGTAAAATATTTACATTTATTGTGTAGATTTTCCTTGTATCTGTCTCTTCTTAATTTCTTCATTGCCTTCAGAATTCTGTGCCTGGGAAACTGGAGTATTAATCTGGAATATTTACATGTAATGTGTAGATTTTCCTTGTATCAGTCTTTTTTCAATTTCTTCATTGCTTTAAGAATTCTGTGCCTGAGAAGCTAGAATATTAAAAATATCTTATCCTAACAAAATTCGTAAAAATATTTACATGCAATGTGCAGATTTCCCTTGTATCTTCTTTTCTTAATTTCTTCATGGCCTTCATAATTCTGCCCCTGAAACACTAGAATAACATTAAAAATATACAATTCTAATAAAATTCGTAAAAATATTTACATGTAATGAGTAGATTTTCCTTGTATCCGTTTATTCTCAATTTCTTCATTGCTTTCAGAAATCTGTGCATGAGAAGCTAGAATATTAAAAATATCTAATCCTAACAAAATTCGTAAAAATATTTACATGCAATGTGAAGATTTCCCTTGTATCTTCTTTTCTTAATTTCTTCATGGCCTTCATAATTCTGCTCCTGAAACGCTAAAATAACATTAAAAATATCTAATCCTAATAAAATTCGTAAAAATATTTACATGTAATGTGTAGATTTTCTTGTATCCGTCTTTTCTCAATTTCTTCATTGCTTTCAGAAATCTGTGCCTGAGAAGCTAGAATATTAAAAATATCTAATCCTAACAAAATTCGTAAAAATATTTACATGCAATGTGTAGATTTTCCTTGTATCTTATTTTCTTCATTTTATTCATGGCCTTCATAATTCTGCTCCTGAAACGCTAAAAGAATATTAAAAATATCTAATCCTAATAAAATTCGTAAAAATATTTACATGCAATGTGAAGATTTCCCTTGTATCTTCTTTTCTTAATTTCTTCATTGCCTCTATAATTCTGCCCCTGAAAGGCTAGAATAACAGTTAAAATATCTAAGCCTAATATTATTCCTAATGGCGGGAATGGGTCTAAATCTATCTATAACAAATAAAATATTAAATATGAAAAGCCATGGCAACCCTGTTAATATATTTCTTCTTTTGTCGCTGTCACAATATCTTGTTTTCCCTGTTGAAAATATTTTAAAAAATACAATAGAAAATAATGATTATGACAAAAAGATAGGCAAATAATGATACAGCATATTACAGAAACGCTTCAGTAAAAATATACATTAACAGTAATAAAAATATTCTGAAGTAAGAATAACGTAAAACGAGAGTATTTAAAAATTTTCATACCACGACATCAAAAACAGAATGGCATTGCAGGGTGTTAGAATACAAATAACAATCTTATTTAGTTTTCTGAGCTTTGATTCAATCCATTAATAAATGTATAATCAAGAATCCGTTTACAATAATTCAAATTACATAAATAGTTAGTTCCTCATGGGTCGACTCATATTAAATTTCTGCATTTAATCCTTTTACAGTATGTATGGCATTTTGGTATAGTTTTAATCAACAGTCTTATTTGATATAAAATGCATTTGCGTGTGCACCCCCATGCATTTGTTTGCGACCACATATTAGTAACCAGTGCACATGCATACGAGCTTAAAGTACATATGACAATGGGATAGTCTCAAACAACAGTCTATTTTTCAATATCAAAGTCTTGTGTGTGGGCCCAATGCATTTGTTGGATAGCACATCTTAGTTATCTTTAATAAAACTCTTCTTCATATTTGAATAATTGAGTTTCATTTCTTTTTGAAAAACAGAAAGTGTCGTGAAGTTCCATATTTGAGGAATCCTGTAAAATGTTTTAGGTATTATGCCTTTTTATAATAGAGGAAGTAAATTATGAGCAACTTATTACGTATGATGAAGCTCTACAAGATGCCTGCCTATAACGTTCTGGGCGGTGATGCTTCGCGCCATCATCCCTTAGACATATAACCTGCCAGTTATATGGATATTAACAACTCCACAACCTTGAATATAGGTGTAGTCTATTACTGGCAATAAAATAAATATCCGATCTACACAAACAAAGTACGAGAGACGAATAACATGTGATGAAACGCGACAAATAGTGTGGTGATAAAAATGATTATTGTAGAAGTCAAAACTATTAATGAATAGGGCTTCTAAAGTTTACGACCGACCTAGTATGTCGACAACATACTCAATTCCAAAAGATGCAAACAATAGCAACATTAATTTATGCAATATGAATGAACCCTATCACAACCAGAATATAAAACAAGCAAACAATCCGTTTAACAATACGGCAATTTAATTAACACTACTTAAACGACAAACTTATAATGCAAATTAACTCCTAAATAGCCGACTCTCAATGATCCGAAATGATAATAAACAAACAGAATATGAGAAGACAAGACCGATACAAGATTTTGTTTACGTGAACATGCCTATTTTCTTCCCACGAACAGAAGATGAAATTGCCTTAAGGGAGTAAGTAGGCGGTCATTCATCAAAAGGACAATGCCCGATAACTTTCAAAATAACCCCGGGTCAAATATATATACGAAATGAAACAATCAAACTTTGTCTGTAGCTGAGGAAATGAATCTTAGTAGTAGTATGTGTAACCAATTACATGCTTAAGATGGCCTAATAAAATATGCTATTTGTTAGCATACGAGTTTTTTTTTGTTTGCAGTAAAATAGTGCATTGTCTTACAACATATCATGTGATACAAGAACGCATGAAGTGGATATCTATTTTAAACATTACATTTAACGGCCATTACATTATACTCGAGATTCCAACTAGAGAGATGTACCTATACCACTTGTCGCCGAAACCGATCCGACAACAACGATAAAACGTCGATTAATATTTTAAAGCAGAAATTGCCGACATTTACATGCTATGTAATTATTATTCTAAGCGTGAAATCCAAACTAGTCAAAGTAACAGTTTGCAAGCATTATTCATGCCACACAATTTTTCAGATTGGAAAAGACATATTTCGGATAATGAGAAATTAATGTTTTGAATCCTAATACGTTTTTTGATTTGAATACATTGCACACTGACGCTAATAATATCGGTTCGGCTGTGGGTGGTAAAATGAATAAATTTTCACTCATCCTGTTTAACTGATACATCGAGTTGCATTCGCAAAATTTTATGCCAATATAACGACGTATTTTGTATTTTACACATCGAAAAATTCCCATTCGATATATTTCTTCATAACTTCCATGTAATGCTAAAAATGTCAATATAAAAAATTGGCTGCAAAAATAGCCAAATTAGTTGAGCTAGTTGGGCTAATAAATGGCTAAAATCAGATTATAATCCTGTTCCCGTTTCTATTCGCGCGGTTGGGAAACAGCATTGCTCATACTTAATCTTTGTGTTTCTAAACACAGTTTAACGCACAAACACATTCTGTTTCATAATCATTACTTTATCTCGGCTTATGTTATGAATAGTTTGCTACTTGTGTATACTTTTCAGTGCACGCACAAGTTTGACCAGTGCTCCGCATTCGTACAGAGGCGTTATCAGGCATATTGGGTGAATTTAAGCACCTTCAGTTAACGGTTAGTTGGACGTGTTTTACCCTAAAATTATTCAAACCCTCCACCATAAAAATTAGAAACAAGTTACAGTAATAGAAAACGCGGCTAGTTGACAAACTGTACGGTACAACGAGATTACATTGTCAGGCCCTTGGGATACCAAAACAAGTTTATAAATGTCCACCTATTAGCAGAGGATCAGAATAAACGAACAAACGATTAAGCGAGGGCTTAATTAATATGACTTGGCATGTGTGCAGTGTAAATTGGATGTTTTATGGCTTGCCAGCATGTTTGGAACTGTTTTCTGTGCGCTCGAAAATATGAATATCTATTGTAAGCGTCAAATATACAACAGTGCAGCCTACAACAGATTTAGCAACCAATCACAAGAAATCATTTTTTTTTTTGCTATATTGGATACCCGACAGAAGGCCTCACCTTCTGAAAAGAAGTCAGAACATCAACCGTTGGAATATGAAGCGCACAAACGAGGATAAACAGATAGAGTTATAATCAAACACAACAATTTGATACTGATGAAAAACTAAAAAAAAAAAAAATGAAGAAGAACTTCGGAAAAACGGCCCGCGAATGAACCTGAACGACTTTCGCAATTATTGCTGTATATCATTGTATTTTATTATTTCCAGTTTCGAGTGAAATGACCCCTTATTTGCAGCTAAAAAAGATAAATAAACGATTGAGCGAGGAATTAATAAATATGACTTGGCGTGCGCGCAGTGTAACTAGGATTTGTCTGGCTCGTAGGTTTGTTTAAAACCGTTAACTTTGCGTTCAAAAATATACCATTTCAATACACATATTAGAAACTATGATTGTCCAGTGTCAGCGTCGGATAAATACCAGTTCAGCTAATAAAAACAGAACTAGCCCGCAAACAACAGAAAATATCATTTTACTCTCTACAAGCATATTAAAAAGTAGATATTAAGGATTGAAAATACGATAAAATTCCGCGAGTAACTCAATGTCGGCCCGTGAAATAAAAGGTAATTACTTTTCACCCAGTTATTCGTTTCTGGTACTTCTGTATTACAAGTTGTACACCCCTGCTGTTTGATTTACATTTTTACCACCAAAACTATGTCGTGTCCGAAATTAAAACTCAACGGTTCTAATGAATTCACACTAAGAGAGACAAAATCCGAAAAACTTTCTCTTTCAATTAATATATTTTCAGTCAAATATTTCCACCAGTAAATTGCGTTTTTTTTATGAATCTGCTGTTGTGCATTGCTTTCAAACACCTGATCAAGCATTTTGGTATGGCGGAGATATAGTGTGGGGAATCTTGTATAAATAGAACATGGTATTAGGAACACGAATTTTGCAGTTCCTTCTCTTAACCCCATAGCTTAAGATTTTCGCAAAATACCATTATGTAATACAGCATTGCTCTGTAAAGCACTCGCAAGCCCTGATAAAGAACAAACTGGTCAGTATCGTTACGTTACAACAAAATCAGAAAATTCTAAAATTTATTAGAAAGTTTTGATGTTGAGTGCTTTCAAATCTACCAATTTATTACGCTTCATCAGAGAATTAGAAATGAACATTTCATTTCTTTCTCAAATGGCAACATCAAATAAAATAATACTACCTAACGCTGTGTGATTTTTCAAATCCTAGTTAACCTTACCCTTTCCGAGCCTGTCGAACCCCTGCGCTATCCTGAAAGCTCTGGCCAAACCTCATTGTACCAAATGGTTGAAAAATTGGGGGGCCCAATCCTAACTTTATAAAGGGGAAGCTTAATTTCGTGCGAGGTTATAGGAAATAAAAAGATTCAGCTTGAAAATCCTTGGTTTGTCATAACAACCCAAAATGTTTCAAAGTCATAAGCAGAAAGCATCTAAGGGCACTATCATATAAGCCCAAACACCAAAGCGCACGACATCCGTGGAGATGACGGGTTCACTAAAACTTACAACTGCGCAACGCTATACAAACAGCAACGCTAATTTATTAGTTATTAAGTTTAAATATTCGAGATGAACTGTAGTTAAACTTGCATATTTAGTTGACGATGTGATAGAAAAGTCCTATAATATAAAACTCTTTTAATTTAAAGGACCCTCGTCGAACCCATGGAACAGCTCCAACAAACACCAAACATTCGATTGAACCATTGTTAAAAACTACTGTTCTAGACTATTGAAAAACTGACAAAACGCTATGGCGACGAAACAAACCCATAAAGTAAGAATACAATAAATTGTATAAAATGAGGACCAACCAATTGTATTAATGCAGCCACAAATGCCCCATTGCCACTATTATAATCTCATTGCTGTCGACTGGTGCATACTTCAATACTTGTCAAACGATGGGAGAACGCCCAAAAAGAAACATAACCCGCGTCTTTTCGGGAATTATGTATGCGAAATGAACAAAGTAGCAAAATTTATTGCATACCAGCTAAAAACTGCATACCTGCCCATGAACTAACGATTGCATTACATGACTTTACGAAATTACATAAATGAAATTGGGAGAAATATTTTGGACATGATATATCAGTTTATACCTGACAAAATATGAATTGAAAGATTTATAAGATTACATACTTGCTCTTTACTCTTTGGACTATATATATAAGCTTCCATCTCACTCAGTGATGCACCAGACTATTAACAATGTCGATTCCGTTTGAAGCATGACTCTTCCAAGCAGTGTTCTAGAAAACTGAAAATAAATATATAGTAGATTTGGAATGATAAATCACAAAAAATGCTGTTTGACAGAGGTAAAGCAAAGGTAAGCTTATATTGAAAATGCATGAAAAAATCAATTTAATGTCGTGAATATGTGTATACCGAGTCTATCTAACTTTAGGTGAAACTAAATTTCGTTGACCTAAGACATTATCAAGTTATTTAATTCACAAAAAATACTATTTGACAAAATTACGGAGAAGAGATATAGTTGTTCGAACTATGTCATTATCAATCTTTGGAGTTGTGATTAACAGGGACATGAGAAGCTAAGCTTGTACTAGAAGTTAAAAAAAAATAAAAATATTAATTTTTGGTTTAATATAAAATAATTTGCTGATTTCCACGAAAATTACAATTTTTACTTAATTTGAATGATCTGTCAGTGCAATATATTGTATCTCATCATATAAATATCGACTAGTCAATTATTTACTAGTGCAGTGGTTTTCGAACGGCGGGGCGCGCCTCACATGGGGGCGTAAACATTTTAAGGCGACGTGAAGCTGATTGATGGAACTTCAAAAAAAGCGTGAAAAAACCGCACTAACTATCTGTGTTTTTGTATCACATTGTTAACTAGTTATTTTGAGGTGGTGCGCGAGACTTGAGAAATTCCTATCTTGGGCGGCTTAAAATGTTTGTGTACCACAGGCATTGTGCGTTATATTTACCTTAATATTCAGGTCCTCTCTTCTTTTTCTTACCAACAACTAAAAATATATATTTCATCAAATAATTTTTAATAAGTTAAATTAGCCACAGGGATTGTATACATTATACATTCATTATAAGAACATAACATATTGATACTCGCAATAAACTATAAAGAAATAGGGAATATATTTCTAGATTTAAAAACTTAATACCCTCTGTCAGATTCATTTACATAGTATGGTACTTCGCGTGACCTACCATTTGTGGTGAAAACGGGTTTCAAAATAAATAAAAAATGGTATCAGCCATGTAAAATGATAGAATGATAAGGACTATGCTTTTAACGAAGTTAGATATGTTAGCTCAGGTACCTCATGATAAACGATTTTAGGGTAGTAATATTCGCATTAATACAGCGTCAAACATACACGCATGCATAGAAGATATGAATACTCGCACTTAGTAACAGCTCATTTGGAATATTGCCAGCTTCGAACACTTATCAACATGCAACATATGGTTACAATGACCACCAAGGATTGCCTTTCAATCTACACTCGAAGGGTAGATTATATTTTTTTACGTAAGAGAATTTACCGTACAACATGTTTAGAGTAAATTATATTATAACCTAATAATTTAGTGCACAGTTAGTCGTTTGTATCTTTTTAATGAAAATCTCTCATAATTTGACAAACCATGCAAAAGAGGCAGAAGGCAGAAACTTGGATTCTTTCATTTACGACCTCTTATATGGTGGAGAAGGGGTTTGTAACAACGAAACAAGTGCTATCAAAACAACGAAATTGCCGTTCGATTAGTAAACGGGGCGATTTGAGATTGTGGATGACGAAAATGTCACCAAAAAAAAATACTCTTTGGAAGACCACTAAGTTATTCCATCTCAATAAAAACACTATAAACTATGATTTATCTTGTTTATTTGTTCTGTAATATATTCGTTTCTGACCTCAAACAATGTCCAAAACAAACGTTTTGTAAACTGGGGGGCGATGAAGTTGTATATATTTCTGTATATATTAGTGCGATTAAAAAGTTTGGAAACCACTGAGACCATGATAATTTACAGTTACATTTCTGAGCTTAGTCGGATTCTTTTTTTACAGTATGATACTATTTTGTGGCAAAAACGAGTTTTGCTCATAAGATCAAACAAGTAAATTTTACACAGAATAATAAGGACCATGTTATCAATAACGTAGTAATCGTATAAATAAAACATAAGAAATATAGACATGCTCAAATATATTGACACGAAATTTATAACGAAATTTTTTACCATTATTTCCCCGGAAATCATACGGTTTTCGTGTCCCACGTGTCCCATGGGAAATACAAATGTGGGTTGTCCCATTCCATCTCATGGGACGTTTCCCATAGGCAAGCCTGGACATGGTAACTATCGCGATAATGCGTATCCATATTAGGTTTTTGGCCATTTGGAAGCGTTGCCACAAAGCTTTAAGATGGTAAGCTGGAGTGAATATTTAATTATTAGATGCAAACAGCCAATTTCAAAGAGTACAATATACTGCCTAAAACTCAGATATTAAACATGTACAACGATACTTCAAACAATCTTACGAAAATTTCTCCCTTGGTCTATTAGTGCATAGGTATTCAAAGAGCTCTGTGAGAGAAACTTAGGCGCTCGCGAGCTATTCGATTACTTCTAAAATACTGACTTGACTAATTTTTTGACTGTCCAAAAAAGTAATGACATCATTAATAAAATTTGACATCAGTAGCGTCGAAATATGACAACGAGCGTAAATTCAGATGTGACATTATCTATAAGTAGGATCGCAGTGGATAAAAAGTTGTCTCTCGAGTAAAATATTCAATTCATAGCCGGTGCGAGCATTTAAAATATCTTGTCATAGTAATTTTTTTGTGTTCTTCGTTACTCGAATTTTAGTCGAGGAAACTTTAACGATTATTAAAATGAAAAATTACTATTTAAAAACTGCATAAAATACGTCCCAATTTGCCAACTATAAGTAGACCGGAATCGTATTTTGAGGTTAGTCAAATTTGATTTGTTTGCGCTCAAAATTATTTTAAAGATATGGACAAAATACGAACGATTGTAATATTTAAATTTGCAAAAAAAAATTTGTTCGATATATTTTGCATTAATTATCTTATATATCATACCGAGAAAAGGTCGTATTGGGCTCCATCGGTAGTTTCAAAATGGACAAAGGTACATCGCGCGACAATTCACTGTGTTTCGATTTCAGTTACCACATGGTATACAGTTTGAAAAAATACTAACATAACACAAATTTACAATGTCTAAAAAGCGTTTTCAATCTGCTGCGAGACTGCTAGAACGTAACTTAGGTGATATCCTCCGTTTTAGATTTTAGTTTCAATATTTAATAATGCCGGTTTTCAATCAAAAAATTGGGTTGCGGATTCTCCTCTTTACCATTTATTCTTAGCATCTCTTCAGCGATTTTTATAATATAGCATTCTAACTTGTTTCGCACACTGAACTCATAATTCCGCACAAAAATAAAAAGTTATCGTCGGCCTCGTGGAACAATACATTCATATGCCAAGGAATAGGCACATAAGTTGTTTAAAAACACGTCGCGCTGACGAAAACTATCGGTGATTCTACCAACTGCCATCGCATACGTTATTAGGACTTTTTCAGTATTCCAACAACAAAAGGGTGTTCGACCCGAAATTTGATAATATGTTTGTTGAGTTTACAGCCTTAATATATTCAATTTATGTGTGAAATTTAGATTTATTTATGTCTGGTATTAATCCTATAAAAAATGTGTAGCATTTAAATTAGGTAAAGTAATTTTAACTTACTTAGGAATAGTAATAGATAACAATTTTAAAATTTATTGTGGGGATCCGTCTCAAATGAGCCCGCGAAGCGTTTGAATGAGTCCGCAACGAGCCAGAAATTCACTGCGGGCTTTTGCGAAACTTAACTATCAGCCAAGTTACGATTTACGTTAGAATTTACATAAAACATAAAAGACAAGTTTATTCACATAACATTATTCGAGTCAATAATTACTGGTTAATGAGTAGGACTGGGGCATATATTCGAATATTCAACTATTAGAATAGCAATTTACTATTCGAAAATTTGGTAACAGGTGACGAAAACACCTTCCGACGAAAACACGAGTCTGCACAAGCTTCGATAGAGTTCGCGAGTTCGAACAACGAGAAATATTTTTTTTTTGGTAGGTGTCAATGGTGACAACCCAAATTTTCTAAATTGAAAAGCGGCTATACAAAATACTAAAAATAAAACGGATAACACCATAAGTTTTGTTTTATGATTGCCCCCGACCGATTAAAAACGCTTTTTTGGACATTGCAAATCGCCAAATTTCGGGTGCTACCGTGGTATAACGTGCCAGGGCATTTTTCCTTGGGATTCTTTGCCTTAACGCCACCTTGGTAAGTACAATACTGGAGCGCCGTAATTGTTGTACAAAAAGCTCAGATTTGTTGAATTCACAAAAATACGAATCAAAACAAAATATAATCGGGCACTTGGACCATATTGATATTTTCCGAGTAGTATTGCTTTTATTTCGTCAACACAATTGCCGATTAAAATCATCACAATTACCTTAATAGTAAAGCAAGGCGACAAATATGTATTTTTCATTTACTAATAAACTTTAAATATATTTTTAAGTGCTAAATCAAGTTGTACCTTTTGGAACTTTACAGCAGAAAATAGATTTTTTCTAACGGCGATAACAAAATCGCAAGATCGCAAAAGCTCTGTATCAAAACTAAATATAATCGGGCAATATATTCTTATATTATGTCCGCAGATTTCCGTGGCATTTAAAGAAGTAATGCTTTCATCTTGTTGTAAGTCGACGCAACCGCGAGTTACCATGAACACAATAAATTAAAATAGAAAGACATTTTAAATTCTCGTCGTTGTCATAGACGGAATATTGTGCGACAGAAACGGCCATTATACACTAAAAAAGTCGGCTCTTTTAACTAACGCGTAATTAGGCGAATTTCCAATTTTAAAATTGTAATGTCGTGTTCGGTTTTATTGCTTCTTCACACAAACTACGGTTGCAATAAACGCTCCTCGAGTCCGCAAAGGTTTTCGCCAGTGAGAAAACAGTCCGCGACCAAGAAAGGTTGGGAAACGCTGCTTTATATAAAAAAAAAATATTAATTTTCAGTTCATTGATAAATTATTCACAGATTTCCCTCAAAATTACAAATATTATTTTGGAGTGATTTGTCAGTGTATAATATTGCAACACATCATATAAATTATATTTATATTCATTGCAAAGCACGTTGAAAATACGACTACATATTCAAGAAATAAAAATATTAAAAATAAGGCGGGAAAGATAAATCTAGCCAATATTTCTATTCTTAATTACCTTAACGCCCTTCGAAAAATTGTCCACGCCCTTGTGATAAGCTAGGCTTATTCTAAAGATACAAAGACGACAACTTGTAACCTACTGATATTCATTTGCGTTCATTCGATATTCGATATATACTACGGAATAAACGATAGGGAAATAAGGAATGTATATCCAGATTCGAAAATTTATGAACATGGGACGGTATGGTTACTGAGACTACTAGCAACGGGAATATAAGCTGACTTTAGTTGTTTTACAATTCGGTGGGATCACATGTATATATATAGTAACCTTTTTGGAATCAGACTGGCTATCGAGCAGCGACACTCAATTTTCTAATATCTAATTAAAAAAGTAAGAATTCTAGAGTTTCGATACTACTATATTTTATATTGACGGTGAGTGCCGTATGAAAGATCGAATCAACTGAAGATCCTGTATTTGACCAGGTGAATACCAACTGATCCTTCATTTGACCAGATCTAATATTTTGGTAGGGTTAGGGATTCTTCAGTTGATCCGAAAGATCTAACTAACGCCATTCAGTAGAGATTATAAATGAGAGTTTATATTAATTAAGTTCTTCTTAATACACTTGATTAGGCATAACATGACGTGAGCCGCACTAACAATAGGGAAAATATGACACATATTTCACTGTCTCTAATTTATACGGTATCGTTTTTGGAAATTTCTTTAAGATATAAGATTAACGGCTATCTTAATACGGTTAGTATGACGCACTCTGATAATATCATTATTGGAAATTCGGGGCAATTCCAGTTTGAACTAGTTGGGAACATCAATGACAGGGTTATCAACTTTTTAGTACCAGAGCGTGTAGGTCACGATGAGCCACAGTTACATTTAGAAATTAGCCTGATTACTTTATATAGTATGGTAGTTAGTGTGAACTACCATTTGGGCAAAAACGCTCATCAGATTAATAAAAAAGGCCAGGCCTATACGATTTAAACAAATTAAGCATATTAGTGTATATATAGGCACCCTATGATAAACAACAAGTTAAACAATAAGTTTTAGTATTTGCATGGTTGTTAAGTGGGGTTGTGTTTTACCCGAATTGCACTTAAGAGGAATAGTTCAAATCCTTTCAGTTCCTCAGCAGATATACACTGCTGAATTAACTTATAGTATCACTATGAAAAAATTTCACTGTTTGTCGTAATCACAACGTGACGCCTAATTGCGATGAAACGCCTTTATTTATGCTGGCCTAATGATATTAAAATCAACTGACATTGCAAGAAGTTATTGGCCTTTCGGTTTCGACGATTAAACGAAACGACAGCAGATGGGACAACACAGCAGCTAGCCCCTGAACGTGCAGCGCTGTAGTGACTACGCCATTATTCACCGGATATTGCTACAGTAAATTTGTAGTACAGAACAGTTAATTTCGCGATTATACGAAATGAACATGGTATGGTTTTAACAGATTTTGCCATATACAAGTATGAGCGAGCATTGGTGCCTAAACTGACAAAAAGAAATCAATGTAAGGCATTCTCGTGTCTCGACTACTGGGCGGGAACGAAAAAAGCCTTATTTTTATTTCTAAAATATGACCCGCGCCCATTTCGCTGGGCCGACTCAATAGCCAGAATAAAACCGGTAATTGTGCAAATACATGAAGTTTTGAGGTTGTAATTAAAAGAAAATTTCATTTGATAGACGAAACAAAACTAAGCTTATACTCAATATATTGAAAGTAATAATTTGTTAGTAGATTTCCCGAAAAAATACAATATATCATTTATTTATAGACATGTAAATTGAACGATTTCAAATGATTTGGTTACATACTTGCTCTTCAGACTTGATAGGCCTCCATCTCACTCAGTGATGAAAACTTGGCTTTTGACGAATTTCTTTCGGTGCAATTATAAATTGTCCTGCCGACTTTCAAGCAGTGTTTCAAAACGCTGAAAATCAATATATAGGTCGTGATTTTGTATAAGCCGATTCTAAATTTGAATTAAACTAAATTTTGTTGAGCCAACTATGCCATTTTAGGTAGTTTATTCACTCAAATATTATTTGACAGAGACACTACAAAGCTATGCTTATGCTAGAGATACAAAAAAACAACTATGTAATTCAATTTAAGTCATTTTCAACTATGTCGCTATTTTCATCAAAATTACATCCTTAAGTTAAAATGATATGTTAGTTATCATATTGTATCTCATTTTGTATTCTTAGAGTAAGACTCTTTTCTGAATATTTTCTTCTAAAATCATACGTAAGTTTTAATAAAATACGTAACGGGTAAATTTCGACATTCAATTTCATGAAATCAAAAACTTCGAAAATTTAGACAAATAAAATATACTCCGCGATTGCCATTAAATTTCTCAAATATATACTTTATATATATACATATCAGGTGTAGTTTCCTGCACTGCACAAATTGCAAATATCACAATAACAATAAAATACCCAATAAAGTTTTATAACTGTTTCATGGAGTATATGACTAATTATCTCTGATCAGTAACATTATCACATTTTTCACGGTAGTGATCGCAAACTGGGGATCGCTACCAGTAGGGAAGCGCGCAGCGAATTTTAGCGGTCAAAGAGAGTACAAGCATTTGATACAAGGGACTATATATATAGTACTTTTTTGGACTTCTGCTTCGAAACACAATTATTGAAACTCGTGCAAAATCTAAATCTTACAATTTCGATAGAATGCACAGGATCAAATAAGCGGCATAACAATGTTGGCTTGCATCGAACTATTTAGCATTTGAAGCGTGAAGCCGTGAACCGTCTTAATTTTTTTTTATTTTTGAATCGAAAGACAATTATTTAAACTTGTGAAAATATAAATCTTACAATTTCGAAAGAAAACACACGATCAAACAAGAGAGCTAAGCTCAAATATATGGACACGTAGCGCCACTCAATGGCAATGGTTTTGATGACGTCATAGCGAAAAAAAAGTAATACCCTTCTGGAGAAAAATTTTATCTTTAACCACTGAAAATTTCAAAGCAATTGGTCCAGTATTCGAAGAGAAAAGCGATTTTTTAAATATGATGGAGACAAATAATAACAATAACAACATAATATTGAAACGATCGTTATGTCCACTAAACGTGTCCAATAAGGGGCATAACAATGCTGACTCTGAAAGTAGAATAAAATGTTCAAATAATATTTACTTGTTATATTCCTTGTTTGTTACTTTGTGTCTTTGAATCTTTAACTTTTAATATTTCTGATTCTTAAAAAAAGTTAAAATATTGATAAATAAACTGTCACAGAACTGTAGCTAGCATATTCAATGGACAGTGGGACTGAATCTATCGGATCTTTTGCACAAAGCTCCCGCCACGTTTTAAAATGACATATTAGTAATTATCCATTTGGGGTTAGGAATGATTTAAAAATTTGAATTTCCAGTGCAATCTGCATTCCTAACTTAAACTGAATAATTACTAATTCTCTTATTTTGAATGTTGATAGGATCTTAGTACAAAGATCCAATCTATAGACACTAATATATAAAAGTGAAAGGCCTACGACGAATCTCTATTAAACATGGATTTAGCGCTACATTTGCAAAAGCTGTGCGTTACATTCATGTAAAGCGTACCAGGTTGAATGCAGCTTACGTAGTTACGTAGATCAGTGTATTACGTTTAAGTTTCTTATCATGATAAGTTAATAATGCATTCTTGTGTCTCGACTATTGGGCGGCAACGAAAAAAGCCTAGTTTTATTTTTTTTAAATGACCCCCGCCTCATTCACTGGGCCGACACAATAGCCAGAATAAAACGGTAGTTGTGCGAATCATGTAATTATAAAATTAATTTTGAGGTTGTGATTGAAAGAAAATTTCATTTGACAGACGAAACAAAACTAAGCTAATACTCAATATATTAAAAGAAATAACTTGTTAGTAGATTTCCCTATAAAATACAATAGATCATTTATTTGTAGACATGTAAATTGAAAGATTACAAATGATTTGATTACATACTTGCTCTTCAGACTTGATAGGCCTCCATCTCACTCAGTGATGAAAACCTGGCTCTTGACGAATTCTTTTGGTGCAATTATAAATTGTTCTGCCGACTTCCAAGCAGTGTTTCAAAACGCTGAAAATCAATATATAGGTCGTGATTTTGTAAGCCAACTCTAAATTTGAATTAAACTAAATTTCGTTGAGTCAACTATGCCTTTTTCGGGTAGTTAATTCACTCAAATGTTATTTGACAGAGACACTACAAAGCTAGGCTTATGCTAAAGATACAAAAAACTAACTATGTAATTCAATTTAGGTCATTTTCAACTATGTCGCTGATTTCACCAAAATTACATCCTTTAGTTAAAATGATATGTTAGTTTATCATATTGTATCTCATTTTGTATTCCCAAAGTAAGACTCTTTTTTGAATATTTTCTTCTAAAAATATACGTAAGTTTTAATAAAATACGTAACTGGTAAATTTCGACATTTAATTTCATAAAATCGAAATCTTAGAAAATTTAGACGAATAAAATTTATTCAGCGATTGCCATTAAATTTCAAATATATACTTTATATATAAATATCAGGTGTAGTTTTCAAACTGCACAAATTGCAAATATTGCAATAACAATAAAATACCCAATAAAGTTTTATAACTGTTTCATGGAGTATATGACTAATTATCTCTGATCAGTAACTTGCAGCATTATCACATTGTTCACGGTAGGGATCGCAAACTGGGGATCGCTATGCAGTAGGGAAGCGCGCAACGTGGGTCTTAATTTTTTGGACTTTTGAATCAAAAGACAATTATTAAAACTTGTGAAAATATAAATCTTACAACTTAGATAGAATGCACAGGATCAAATAAGCGGCATAACAATGTTGGCTCGCATCGAACTATTTAGCATTTTAAACGTGAACGTGGGTCTTAATTTTTTGGACTTTTGAATCGAAAGACAATAACTAAAACTTGTAAAAATATAAATCTTACAACTTAGATAGAATGCACAGGATCAAATAAGCGGCATAACAATGTTGGCTCGCATCGAACTATTTAGCATTTTAAACGTGAACGTGGGTCTTAATTTTTTGGACTTTTGAATCGAAAGACAATAACTAAAACTTGTTAAAATATAAATCTTACAATTTCGAAAGAAAACACACTATCAAATAAGTGGTATAACAATGCTGACTCTGATCGCAAGAACTGAGACGCGGTGCGCTCGCATCGAATTGTTTAGCATTTTAAACGAAAATAGTGGTATATAGGAATCAATAGGCGTCGAAAGTAGAATAAAATGTTCAAATAATATTTACTTGTTATTTTCCTCGTTCGTTACTTTGTGTCTTTGAATCTTTAACTTTTAATATTTCTGAATCTGGAAAAAAGTTAAAATATTGATAAATAAACTGTCGCAGAACTGTAGCTAGCATATTCAATGGACAGTGGGACTGAATCTATCGGATCTTTTGCACAAAGCTCCCGCCACGTTTTAAAATGACATATTAGTAATTATTCATTTGGAGTTAGGAATGATTTAAAAATTTGAATTCCCAGCGCAATCTGCATTCCTAACTTCAACCTGATAATTACTAATTCACTTATTTTGAACGTTGGTAGGGTCTTTGTACAAAGATCCAATTTGTAGACAATAATATATAAAAGTAAAAGGCCCACGGCAAATCTCTATTACACCATGGATTTTGCGCTACATTTGCGAAAGCTATGCATTACATTCATGTTAAGCAAGGGTCGGCAACCTACAGCCCGCGGGCCGCATCCGGCCCGCGACGCATCACTGAATTATAGTAGCAAATAATAGCTGTTTTGTCGATTATATTCTTTACGCAAAAGAATTTAGGTGTAAACGTAACAAGTATATAATTCACAATTACTCGTTTAATGGGCCTATAATTTAAATATAAAGTAGACAAATGACAACTAAACGCAGAAAAGTTGATGCTAAGTGCAAATGGTTTAATGACGCAAAAAATATTCAAATGGTCAGTCTTCGCGCGCCTCTTAAAATTTAACTTGTGATCTGTATGATAAAATGTGATTCATCGGTCATCCATTCGATTTTTAACATTCTAAAAATATGTGCGGCCTGCCAATGACTTGCAACCTTTAATTTTGGCCGGCGAGCGACAAAAGGTTGCCGACCCCTGATGTAAAGCGTACCATGTTGAATGCAGATTACGTAGTTACGTAGATCAGTGTATTACGTTTAAGTTTCATATTATGATAAGTTTATTTATTGTCATATAGCTTTAAAGTTTGGCCTATATGTGACGAAATGATGGAACCCGCTGTTTGTGAGTTCGATACAAAAAAGAATCATCCATCAATCTGTACTTCTGTATTAGGTTAATAATTCTAATTCGTATAGGCCCGAAAACCTCTAATTTACCACCTATACAATAGTAAAATGAAAGCAATAGGTATAAAGAACATTTAGCTCACCTGAATATTGTTTCGAACTCACTGTCATAACCCAATAGTCACCATATCCATACATCCTACAGAAAATCAAACCTCATCTTATCACAAACATTTGACTGACTAAAAGCGATGTCGCTTGTGGCTTCCCGCGCAAAAATATTTGACGAAAAAAGCCAACTGATTGGTTATAATCAAATGTTTTTAACTGATTACTTTAATAATTACTCCAGGTTGTCGCTTCTGACGCGTGATCGCAAAGTTGCAGAATGCAAATGACGGTTTGGATTTGCTTCATACATCGTATAATACCTAGTCCACAGTAATATTCTCAGGATCTTTTGTACCAAGTCCCGCCTCAAAACAACACCCCGCCAACGCTCGAATTGAATAGAAATAGTAAATATTCAGTTAAGGTGAGAGATGCAGATTCAGCCGGTAATTCAAATTTACAAATCGTTCCTAACCCAAACTGCATAATTTCCTATTTTTTATTTTAAAACGTGCCAGGGGTGTTTATCTCAGATCACACATTTTTGCATCAGTGACGGGAGCTTAGTACAAAGAATCCAGCAATTCCATTATATTTGTTTGTTTACATTTGTCGAGTAAACGCGCACGTGAATGCCATCAAAAATGTAACCTTCCTACAACTCAATGAAAGAATAACGGCGTGTAGAAGTTTAGCGTTATATCAATGCATTCTCTGCATTGGCGTACAAATCTTAGCTCATTGACTTGCGCAGCCAAGAATAATTTTGAGTTTTCATACAATAACATGCCGGCGATGTCGTTAAAAGGGAGGTCATAACGTGACGTTGTTTCGATGCCTACTGTATAGTAATTTCTTCGCCCAAACCAAACGGCAGAGACATAACATCAGCAACAGCAATAATCAGGGTTCTATGTGAAGTAAATAATTGACTGCTCAAGACAAGAGCATACCGACGACAACAACTGATAAAATATATAGATCAACTATTCGAGACCATTCAAATATTTGGTGTTATGGAGCTCGTGAAGAGGTATTATTGACGTAGCCCCACAATAAGAACGTAACAAAATCAAATTGTTACTCATCGATCAATATTAATGAGTGAATTGAAACTACTCTATTTAATAACTCGGATGTATTTACTGCTTCTTAAATTTTATTAATGCCATTTTGAGTAAACGAATAGATCGCGTAGAGTGTGACCCTAGGTCCATATGAAGCGCTTTGAGTCTGTCTCTAGATTAGACCTCTTGGTAAAGAACGATTATGATACAGGTATGTACGGGTGATGGCGGACAATCCTGAGATTTGATCACACAGGGTAAGGGTATACACGTATTATAATCTATTTAGTATCTATGCCAGCCTGTGCACTGCAGCTGACTACGTTCGCGTTGAGTGGCGCACGTGCTAAGCCTTAGGAATACGCTTGATTTATATCCTAAGATTACCTCGCTTGGATTTGCAGGTTCAAACCCCGTAAGGGATAATTTAGTACCGGAGGATTGCTGGCGGCTTCCTCCCACCACCCATCCCAAGCCAGAAACGCCACGGAACACTTGCACTTTTTATGTCGCCTCGTGGAACACCAAAAATGCGCCGCTAAAACTACCAAAATTGTGTTAATCATACCTAAAATATGATTGAATATTTTTTTGTTTGTTTTTTAATTTAAATGCTGGGTATAGGAATCAATAAATTCATTTTACATTTCTGTGTCGATGACTTTTCATTACGTAGTGTTTGCCTTTAATAATGTTACATAACAATGAAGTACTTTATTTTATTTATCTGCTCCATCTATTATTATTTATCTGCAGAGTCGAGTTTAGCAAGCATGAATAATTTTTTCCGCATTTCAAAGTAAGGTTTCTAATTTTGTTCGCCTTCTTTATGATCAAGTTGTGTAAAGGGCCTGAAACCTACGGACAGGTGGTATATTCACTCGGCTAACACAGACAGTCCATGAACTCGTAATATAACTAAAATAAAGAAAACTGGAATAAAATTATGACCCAACCCTAGCCGGGTACACACACTACGGGAGTACCCACTTCTCAACCTGAATAGTCAACCTGGATTCGCTAAGTTATGGGCTGTCTATTGATCCATGATATATATACCACGATATATATCTAACTATAATATTAGGCTCAGTAAAAAATAAAGTCTTTCTTACAACGCCGTCCAATTTATATTTCCAAACGTGATATCAATAACTCCGAACCCGTTAACTAAATCACATTTACAAGTATCTTTGTCATTGTTTTTGCATATGGTTTGTGTAAGCCCAAGTCCGCAACAAAAAATAACAAGAATGGTGGAAACATTTTTATTTTAAATGCATTTTAGGTAAAAATCACTTTAAAACTCATCCACAAACTACATGCAATTTTTTCAACTAAAATCTCTTATGTAACAGGTTTATTTGCTGATCGTTTCATTATTCAGCGATGTGTAATTGAACTGAAGTTTGGTAAACAAACGCATTCTGAGGGGTTCAACTGAGAGTCGGGGGGCAAGGTACCACTTCAATAAGTCATAATGACAGGCCCGAGTTTGGTCGACAACACGGGGTTATTTTCGCTGTATTTGGGCGACGGGAATATTTGGGCGACATTTTGCTGTCGCCCAATTAGTTTGAGCTTTATTTTATATATGAATCCATCGGGCAAAAAATCTGAAACTTTTTGTGATTTTTAACATTACCCTCAACTATCGCCATAATGTTGGATATGAAATTCGAGCAAAAAAACTCTGGTTTTTGTCGACAGTTTTTAGGCCTAGGTATATTTCATGTAGTTATTTTTGCTAAATTGTGGCTACAAATATATATGCAACAGTCTTAAGAGAGACTTATTTCGTGTTATAATATCCAGGCATTTTAGCTACGTTGGAAAATGTTGAACCCGGGTGGTATTTGACTTTTGTAATTCAAATACACAGAATTTAACTGATATATATAGGAATACTAATAGGTTAGTTCATCCTTCTAGTTTATCAGATTGGAAAATCCTAGCTATGTTTAAATTCCCATTGGGGAATATTTTACATTTACATTTTGAATTACGGTATATACCTATTTGTATTGTGTTGTCTGAGTATTTACGATGATAAACATTACCATTATATTACCGTTACGCCATTAATAAGCAGTTCACATGTTTCGATATAAATGTATATACATTGTGACTTGTTCAGAGAATAAAATTGCAATTAATTAATTAATGATACAATGTACTATTTATATTAACATGTATAAAAAATATTTACTTATTATGTTAGGTAACAAAAAACTAGTACAATAAAATATCTCATAGTTTCAGGTTCGAGTAAAATGATTGTAAGACAATGCACAGCACTGAAAATGAATTTGATAATTATAAATATAGAAAAAAAAAATGTCTCATAAATTTGAAAAAGTACGAAGAGCAAATGAATACTAGTTACGAAAATCAGCATTTTTTTTAATGTGAAGACTGATTGTGAGGCCCATCATTCGAGCAAAATATAATATCTCAACTACAAATTTTGGTTATTTAAATATTAACTTATAATTTATGATAAATTGATCCAATACGGTAGTTATTCGTTAAGTATATTATACTTGAGTAGATTATCTATTTATCGAGCAAAACATTCATCCACTGAATTGAAAAAATTTAATTATTTAAAATTATTGTATCTATATATATATACAAGAAAAAGTGTAGCAAAAACCAGGAACCGTTTTGATTCGAATATTTATTGAAATGATATCTGTCATATCCAAAGCATTTTGAACAGTATATCCGTTCGATTTCGTGCACGAGTAAAGTGTATGAAATCTTTATTCATATTATGAATGAGGATTTGAAATGATTGCAACTTGCTATATCAATTGGGTATTCATTAAATTTATTTTTGTGTGCAGCCCTGTTTTTTTGAGTTTTTCCAGATAAGATAGATTATCCAATTTTCTTGATACGATGGTAAGTAAGTAATTTATTTGGAAAATGTTACTGATTATGCAATTCATTAAGTTTATTTCGAATAATTTCCTATATTGAGGATATCTTGCTACGTTTCCATGACAAATGTAAATACAGTTCTTCTTCAAAACTTCCATTGAAAGGTCAAGAAGTTGTCTGAGGAAAATCCATTTATTCCTTCATTTTTACAGCTTACTGGAATCGAAGTTATGTCATTTATGATAACATCAACTTTTAACCTATTTTTCACGGCTCTTTTGAGATATTCTTCTGCATCTTCAATAATAATTCGATATTTTTTCTAGTCATAGAATCTAGGACATCACCACAAATTGGTCGAAGGTACAGTTTTGTAACATCAATCATTCGCTGATCATAATCTACGGCTGTTATCATGGACGCTCCAAGATCTTTGATTCTTCGTACAATACACCCATCGCTTCCTCCAAGAATAAATACAGTTTTATTTGTATACTCCACTCTTCCAAATCCAGATAAAGCGTACGAAAACGCTTCGTAGTCGGTTTCGCCAATATTTGTACCATTTTGATGTAACTTCATCAAACACTACTTTGTCAAAATCTTTTTCAACGATGAATCCCTCACATACATCGTAACATGAAAACTCTCTACCTCTTTTCAAAGGAGGAAGACTATCATACCGAGGTGTTTTCGGGATTTCTGCAAACTCTAATTTTCTAATGTCTTCATCTACCTTATTAACAAGAGGTTAAATTCGGGATTATCTATGTTTGTAGTGTGTATATCCATCGTGAACAAGCCTTCGTCTGATTCTTGTAATAAGGCTTTCAAACCATTGCTGTTCGCGTAAAGGGTTGTAATCTTTCTCTACTTTGAAACACAAGCTTGCAGTTTATGTCCATCGTCTTTATAAGCTTGCTTATTTCATTTATAAATTCTTCTCTCTTTCCATTCATTTTGATAACATTTATTCTAAATTCAAGTAGCCATGAAACCATTCTCCTAGATGGGTCTCGAACGATTATGGCTATGTAATAGAAATCTGAATCATTTGGAAAAGACTAAAATGAATTAACCAAGCGTGATGAAAAATTTTGAACGGCGATATACGACTTGTTCGCCACAGCCCCACACCCCTATATTTTTTCAATCAATCAGCAGCACATCAATTCTAGTAAAAATACTGATTGATAGGTATGGTAGCAACCCTACAATGCAAGTCGTTGTTCGAATAGAACTCCATGTTTCATATTGTTCCGGAATTTACTTTGGAAGTTTATATTGCATAACATATATTCGCTATATATTGAAATGCGATAACATCAATGAGCTAAAGCTGCTAAAGATTTTCTGATTATCCAGCGCTGTTTTACAGGGTTTATTATAGGATAATTTCCCAATGTTATTTTCGATTTCAGAGTAAACTACGCTAAAGTTATCCCGTTAAATGTTTGCGATATATGAAAGATTGTTAGGCTTAACTCAGTTTTGTTACTATACTCGCATTTATCCACTTAATTTCATCATTGATTCGGAACAAGCAGCAACACCAGTTTGGATTGATTATATATAAAAATGTATACAAAATGTCATAATATTACTAAAATCAAGCAATAAGCATTGACTTTTTCATTTGAAGTGCTGAAAATATAGTCAATATATAAAGTCAATCTCCATGGAACTAAAAGAAGACCTCTAAGTCGGTGGATCGTTTAAGCCTTAAAATTAGGTTGGAATCCATGCAAACTCCTACCCACAGACGAAACAACAATACCTCACGCAGTTATTCAAATCATTTTTTATTTATTTTTAACATTTTATTACACGTTTTCATCATATGTAATTCATTCATGCCAATAAATGTGTTGTCACGAATCTCCATTAGTTGATAAATAACAGCTGGACTGTGTTGTTAATAGCAGTGTGCACTGGAAAAAAGGTATACAAATTAAATTGATAGAACTGACATAAAATAAGATTAGGATAATATCACCAGACAGTTTAGTAAGGTTCAACATACAACAGTGTTTTGTTGCATAATAATGTGAAATGAATATAAAAAAAACCGAACCATTATCGGGATTCTACGTTAATTGGTAGTAGACTATCACTCTGTTGGTAGATGTACAAATTGTCAATTTGTATTTGGTTCCTATTCATACAAAAGTGTGACTGGGTATCATCATGCATTGACTTATTATTTTATCAAACAGTCGATAAACGAAATAAAGTAGTAAATACTTACTCTAGGATCAGTTATTCAAAGCCTTCTGACGGGTGGTCAGTACCGGTACGATCATTACATAAAACGCCGTGGCTTGATCCCCTCACATTTAGAACTTCTTATGCAATAGCATTTATGTTTAACAATACATTATTGTTTCAGTCTTTATTAAACTACGCGATGAGAAACTAGATTTAAACGCCAAAAACAGAGGTTGAACACCTTACTCGCCAATGGCGAGGGAGCTAATTTCTGGAATGAGTTCTCACTACTACGTCATCAAAGGCCGTTTCCGAACCTTCCGGGTCGATTTTGGTTAAGCGGTTTTTAAAAATTCATAAGTAGAAAACTAAGTCCACTTTATGCAAGGGGTAAACGTTAAAAATCTTAAAAAAATATATAGAATCAAATTTTTCACAAAAATGTTCGCGTGATAACCCACCTTTAATGCTTACATCTTTATAAATGACTTTCAACTATTCTACATCATTCACATAGAAGTATATTGGAATTATTTCCACATTCTTTGTTTCCCGTATGCCTATACTGGACTACACGAATCAGATATGCTCGTATATAGGACGGGATCATTCCTCTTGAAGGCCCTAAGCACTTGGGATTTTGGTACCCCGTGTTTAAAAAAATAATAATAATGAAACTGGTGTCGTGTGTTATTTTGAATTGAATAAGTAAGTTTCAGTATTCACTGCTAATTGAGGGCTAAGTTACGATTAATTTGTATGTTTTTTGGAAACAGTTCTCATATATATATATATTAAAACTTACATTGATATATAGAGAGGTGTAACATGATACTTCAGAGCCATAACATTTTTGCAGCCTGGTCAGTGTCGCGGTTTTAGTAGTCTGGCCAACTCGAATTGTTTCATTGAACACTGGGGCACCATTGAAAATTTGTCTATGGAAATTTCTTTGGTGCCCCCTTTTTTTTTGGTGCTTTAAGCACGTGCTTATTCTGCTTAATCGTTAATCCCAGCACTGCTCGTATATCATATGTTGAATAGATCTTACGATGGATAGCTCAACTCTACAATATTTCGGCAAACGTTTATAGGCAGGAAATCGTATGAACAGTAACGCATGTAGGCCGCAGGCGTGATTGATTGGGCCAACGGTTCCGTTGGGTAGTTGGAATTGATTACATACGTCGGAATTTAGATGGCGTGTACGCGAATGAATAACCTTCACAATGTACGTACTATGTTCTGTTTGTCTCTACGCGGTCTCCTTGTTGTTGAGTTAGTGATGAAAGCAAATCGAGTTGCAATGAAAAGATGCCACCAATCAACAAACGCTGTAAAATAGATAGATAGCTTTGCACAATTGCGCTCCATCAGGTAATAAAAAGTACAGGACGATGCGATTGACGTTGCCGTCGTATTTTGGCCATTTTTAAAGATTTTGCGTTCAAATCTAATCTTCGACCAGTTGGTGAGGTTTTCATGCCTCTGGTTTTGGCCATGAGTTTCAGATAGATTGCGTATGCTTCAGTGACTCCACTTGGCACTTTATTGATAATCTATACAGTCTTTGATTCTGGCAAATATTGCAGATATTAGAGATATACTCGCGAGTAGATCAATCAAGATTTTAATAGCAAGCAATTAAGAAACTATACGAGACTGAAGCGATAAATAAACTATTCAATAGGACGTGTGACTGTTCTAAAATAACAAAATTGTAAGCACCGATAAATATAGAAAAACATACATGTGGGAAATAATGTCATATTAAAATATTTGTGTATTTTATCACAATTAGGTTTTTGTTTTAATTTTGTGATTCTATTTAATTTCAAAATGGATTCGTGGCTTTTAGAATTTCGAATGGACATGAGCAAAGTGCATGAAAAAGTCGATGAATTTTTGAGTCAAATCGGAAAACTTATATAACATATAGACATTGGATGCATTCTAGTGTACAGTAATACCGAAAGAAATATTTCTGCCCTCTTCTCGAATAGCAAGGAAGTTAATGTGTTTCTTCAAAGTGCGAAGAATGACCTGTTAACACTGGACATCCATACTACAAGTGTTGACAATTCTTATTTTAGGAATCTAGTAAATGAATTGGATGAAAAAGTCAGAAAACTAGATTTTGCTGAGATTCCAAAAACACCGCCTTATGATAGCCTTCCCGCCATAAAAAGAGGACGAGAATTTTCTCATTACGAGATTGTCCATGGTATTCGTTTAGTTGAACGAGATTTTGACAAGCTTATGTTTGATGAAGTTACTTCAAGGCAACACCTACGTGTTTTACACTCTATCGAATTTGGAAATTGCCTCTATTGTGATAATGATATAACTATGGGTGAATACGACTACGAAAGTTATTCTCATGCCGTATCAGGATTCCGACACGTCGATTACAACGGGAAACGTGTTCTTATATTGGGTGGAGGTGATGCTTGTATTCTTCGTCGAATCAAGGATATGGGCAGCACCATGATAACGGCAGTAGATTATGACCAGCGTGTGGTAGACGTTACAAGACTCTATTTTCGCAAAATATGTGGTGATGTACTCGATTCTATGACAGGGCCTAATTATGAAATTGTTATAGAAGATGCTGCAGAATACCTTGAAAGAGCTGTCAAGACTGGATTAGAGTTTGATGTTGTAATAAATGACATCGCCACAATCCCATTATCTTTTGAACCGGTAGGTGAGAGATGGGAGTTCAATCTTAAACTTTTGGCTAACTCGATGAAAGTGTTGAAGCATGATGGGGTATTCATTAGTCACGGAACTTCGGCAAGTCGTCTCCAAGGACAGAAAGTATATGAAGCTCAACTGAAGAAACTTGAGTATCCCGTTAAGTTCACCAAAGAAATAGCTTACATTCCAACTTATCAGGACAACTGGGTGATTTACATAGTTTGGAAAAAGAGTTCTCAAAATTGAAGGATCCATATATATAATGTAGATTATCTTACAGTTAAAAGTTATCAAAAATGACGAGCCTCGACAATCGTGTCATAGAATGCATGCGCTATTCACAAAAGTTGTCTTTCAGAACTTTTAGGTGATAACACAAAAATTTTCTTTCAATGATTTCGCTTAATTTTTATTATTATTTATGGGGGGGTGGCGGTTGTAAAAAAAAAAAATATTTAAACTTAACTCAGAGGCCTACTAAAATTCCAAAGCAGTTGGATCAGGGGGCTGCGTCATCAAATAGAGAAGGCTTTAGTTTGTTCGAGGATGCGATATGGCAGCCTGCCTTCCTGCAAAGTATTGTCGAATACGATGTCATTTAGTTTAGAGTAGTGATTTCTAAATTAACGAACTTAACAGTAAATTGACTCCCACTTCCTATGTTTAGTAGTCAGAAAAACCGATTCTGAACAAAGAATAGGACCCCACCCTGATTCCAATTGGGGGATCCCCCAAAACAGTGGTCTTACTCCATAGTGACACCGTGTGTCCCATCACTAATTAATTAATAACTCGCTAATTATACGACATAATCTATCCAAAATCGATAGACTCCTGTTCCGAACTATGATGAATGCACATGCAAAATTTGGAGCAGATTCAACCTCGCTTTCGTGAGATATCGCGTGTATCTAACAGACAAACAAACAAACAAGCAAACAAACAGACAAATATCTATCAACATACTTACCGATCTTAAGATCGATAAGTAATTAGTGTTGCGTTTTGTTCCAAAGAGCGTTTGACAGTCAGCAAGTTGTCCAATGGGCGCTGTATTGAAAGGTTCGGGAAACTGATTCAGAGTGCCAGGTAAATTAAAACTCCTGAGCATAAAATATTATCGGTATATGGATTCGACTAAATTTTTAAACATTCTATCACCTCGATTTACTTGGATTTTTCTTTTGATTACATACGAAACTGCTTATCTACAAACTACTTTTCAACATATCTATACCTTATATCTCAGCTTCATAAAATACGTTTAAAGGCAACAAAGTTGCTGCAACCACAATGCATTGGCGAGAATGTGATCAATTCTTCATGAAAAAGTTTGTTAATGACAATGTCGTCGGATTGTACACCTTAGCAATTTCAACCAAAAAACCCAAGCCACATGAAACCCTTTTGAAGCTACGCCAGCTCTTACGGCAAATATAGTTATGCAGTTTTAAATAAGTAGCAAACATACAAAAACAAACTATTATTCAGTGTTTTTTGTTTTTTAGTCATTTTGACGATCTTATGATATTATATGCGGACAAATTAGAGATATGTAATTGAAGTTCATCGAATGTTTCTGTCATTTTTCTACGATTAACTTCATGTAAAATATGGACCGACTAGACGCCGACAATTAGCCCTACATGCCTACACAGTATCGGTGATACAAAAAATACAGGCAACATTAGCGTTTGTGATACTATAATATGATAGATAAATTTCATACAAAAGACTTTTAACAAACGACTCGACAGTCAAATCGAATCTTTTATGTTCGTTGCTTTTTCTCAATATTTTTCCATATTAGGTAAATAACCCAATTTTCTTGATAAGACGGTATGATTGCAATCTTTTTAGTGAACTGTATCGTGGAATCCAGTTTATTCAGCTCATATTCGTATAGTTTTTGACCTTCGAGTCGGCTCGCCGAAGTTCCGTGGTTAATGTATACTCCGCCATCTTTCAACACTTTCATTGAAAGATTCAAAAGTTTCCTAAGAAAATCCCATCTGTCTCCTTCAGACTTTGAAGTTAAAGCAATTGTGGTTATGTCGTTTATGATGATGTCAACTTTTAAATTATTCTTTACAGCTCTCTCAAGATATTCAGCAGCATCTGCTACAATGAATTGATAATTTTTCCCTTTCATGGAATCGAGAACATCAGCGCAAATTGGTCGAAAATACCTTTTTGTTATGTCTATTACGGTCTGATCATAATCTACGGCTGTTATCATAGATGGACCAAGATCTTTGATTCTGCGCACAATGCATGCATCGCCACCCCCAAGGATGAGCACGGTTTTATCTCCGTAATCGATACAAATCCAGATAGGGCATACGAATAACCTTCGTAGTCATATTCGCTAATATTCAAGTCATTGTCGCAATAAAGACAATTTCCGAAGGCAATTGAATGCATAACTCGCAAATGTTGCCTTGATGTAACTTTGTCAAAAACAACTTTATTGAAATCTCGTTCAATCAGAATCCCACTGACAGTTTCGTAACAAGAATACTCTCTTCCTCTCTTTAAAGCAGGAATACTATCAAAACGAGGTGTCTTTGGCACTTCTGCAAACTTCAATTTTCTAATATCTTCATCTAACTGATTCACGCGATCTTTAAAATCAAAATTGCTTGGGAGTGTTACGTGGATATCCAAAGTGAACAACCCATCTTTCGCTTCTTGCAATAAAACCTTCAATCCGTGACTGTTCATGTAAAGAGCAGTAATTATTTTTTCTGTATTTTTGTATACTAGATTGCAGTCACGATCCAAAGTTTTTATAAGCTTGCTCACTTCCGTTATAAATGTTTCTGTATTTTTTCGTACCTTGCTAGTGTTCATCTGTAATTCTAAAAGCCACGAATCCATTTCTACAGAATTTAATGGTATAGAATAAGGTAAATAACTTTATATGAAATCTATAAATATATTTATTATATATATCTTTAATATATTGAATGCATTTTGTGCAGTACATATATTAATCACAAAGTACAGAAACATAAGTAGGCCTTTAAAATGATATTTCTGGTTGTTTGATGGCTAGTTCTGATCTGATGAAGACTCTGATTACACCATTTCCGAAGACATGTATTCATAAAAATATATATATTTACAAATAGACAAGTACAAAATGTCCAATTCAAACCAGGCAGATAGCAAGACAAAATCCGAGTTACACTGCACGCATGCTGAGTTGTAAAAATTATTCCCTCAATCGTTAGTTGTTCTAGCTGCCCATACCCTTCCTAACAAATGGTTATTCATAAAATTGTTTTGGTATCCCGATAGCATGACGCTGTAATGCTATTGTAGGCGAATCAACTAATTGTAACCTAATCTGCCTAATTGTCGCGCTTTTTTTTTATCTTGGTTTGGTTCTAATTTTAATTAAACACGTACAACTGTTAACTAAAGACAGTTACATTAACACAATATGCTTTAGGCCTACAGGTAAACATCCTATATACAGCAGCATGCGACAAAAATACTCATTGTAACAAATATAAGTCAGGACAGATCACACTTTATGGATAAAAGTGCACGATGGTTTCTTTTGCCCTATTAGAAGTGCTCTTACTTTGGAGGCGATAGACTGCACAAAAGTGATTGATTATGAAACACAATCACGGAATCAAACCTCTGAATGTATCGATTTTCCACGACCACGAGTCATGTTACCTGGATACGTGAAAAACCAAGCACAAACTAATATACAGGTTATTAACATGTTATTCAGGGGGTCAAAATAACCCAAAAACACTCGTTTTTACCAATAGAAAATGCCGCATTGTCAGTAATAAAATCTTGCGTGATCGGACTATCAAAATATAACAGAGATTCGAATTTACAAAGTTGTATCTATTTAAAATGTTATTTAGCACAATGGCTCCCCGAAATAGCCTTCCGAAGCATTCTATCTATTGAAAATATGAGAATAAAGAATTTCCGTTCACCAAATGTTGTAATTCACAGATTCCGTGTTTATTTCAAACCTTTATGAAAAATAATTTCTTGTTGTACCCTAATGGTTCATTATAAAGTTGAATATTGGCATCAGTTCTTAATTTCTCATACACGTACAGGTAGGTACAAAGTGTATCCTTAATTGTTGTTATGAAATGAATATTTTTTCGAAGCGAGAATTATACCTTAAATTTCCCCTTTGAATAAACAATGTAATTTCATGTTACGTAAATAATAAAGTTTAATGGTTTTCCAATTGCCCTCTTTTGACTCAATGAGGTGCTTCATCCAGTTCTGTTTTTAGATATAATTACACTTTGAACGTATACTAATATCATCTTATTCTCAGGAAAATCAGTGTTTTACCTTTAACTCTTTTCTATTTTGAGTTCGAAAGGAAGCCAAATATTAAAAAGTTCATAAATTTTTACAATTTTTTTGGATATAGTAACTGGTAAAAATGTAAATTGATAAGATACAATAGATAGAATTAAGGATTTGAATACACACTTTTTCTAGAATTGTTAAATTTCTCATTCGCTAAGTTTGGATATTGTTTTGTAATTGTTCACGATAACACAGTCAATTGGTTAAGTTTATATAGTTGTTTCAAGTCTGCGGTAATTGTAATTTCAAATTTATAAGTCGAATTCATACGATCAGTTGAGATTGTTGAAATCATTTTGTTCAATTATAACACTTTAAGTTCCAAATTCATTGCTTGCGATTTTCCAGCATTTGTTTTGCATCCTGATATATTTCCAAAGACAGTAACTGTTCAAAATAATGTTTCTATGCCTTTAGATCAGGGTCTTCCAACCCGTGGCCCGCAGAAGAGTTCCGAGTGGCCCGCGCAGTATTTTTCGAAATTAAATAACTAAACTAAACCCGATTTCTCCCACAATTTTGAGCCACAATTGACACCTCTATTTCAGCTTGTTGAATTCAACCTCCCTTTACAACGAGCCAGGAAAGATATATAGGACAAGGTGTGTTTCGTGAATTTGGTTTGTTTGTTCCGGCGATCTACATCTCAATATCGGTTCTCCTTATTACGTGTACCAATTCTGTTTATTTTTTCTTTTTCGATGGACCGCGCGTTTTGCTAAACGAAATCGAAAGCTATTGTGCGATGCTTGGTCGAGGAAAATTATAGGGATTGATTTGCAACCCAAATATAATTCATTATGAATATTATTTTTCGTCTATCTAGGCTTTGATGGTATATATCTGCTGTCAAATAACTAAGATTTAAAATACAATTTGGAGAATGTAAATCGAATCGAAAACTTAAGTGAAGAGAGAATTGTTCAAATGGAAAATAAAATGAAATCGATTCAGTCGAAAAAAAATGTTTGATCTGTCGCTTTATCTTCGCAATGTCATGTAAGCGCAGTAGCAACGACGCTGCGTTGCTGAGATAGATAAACGAGAATTCGCAGCAACCGCACTATATGAAAAGGGAGATCAGTTTTGAAGTTAAGGATACATAAATGAAATTTGGGTATTGGAATTAACTATATGAAAGATTACGCAAAAATAAATCATAACAAAGAAATTTAGAGCATCAAAGCTTGTGTGAGAAAGGTGAAAATATTCAACAACAATCACAATCAAAAGGAAGGATATGTTGTAAAAAGGAAAGCATCACATTTCGCACAATTGGCATCAAAAACCGTATCAGAAATGACCGACCTGATCATTGGCGAATTACTGAATGTTAAAAGCATTGAGGTACAGATTTTTTAATTTCATTTTGAGCCTTTTATAGGTCTTGGAGCGCATAGTAACTGGGAGAATATTTCAAAGTTTTATGCCCATGTACTTTATGGAATTTTGAGTACGACTGTATGAATAGCGGGTCATAAAGCTATTGGTAGAGGGACGTGTTGCATGAAAGTAAATAACGCTTTGCTCAACGAAATACCTAGTGAATGCAACAGATAATTTATTATTATGATGTTGCTGCATAATTTTCAGCACTTCAATTTTTTAAATGTTAGCAATTTTAAGAACTTGCATCTTATAATAGTAGTATATAGTAGTATAATAGTCTAAATTTGACCGTGGTGCTGCATTAATAATGGCACGAATCGCCCTATTTTGCATAACTTCAATGCGATGTAATAACGTTTTGCTTGCTGAATTCAAAGCAGCAATGCCATATTGGATATGAGACTCTAACAGATCATAATATACCATATACGTAGAGTTGACATTGATGTGTATGGACGAAGCTTATACAACATTTCTCCCGACTTAGATAGTTTAACGGCAATGTTATTTATTTGAATATCCCAGTACAATTTATCATCGATATTGTGCCAAGATATTTATAAGTTTTAACATTTTCAAGAATAGTCTCCACAATTTTAAGACCATCTTTATGTTTGGATTTGTTAGGAGTTATCAGCATAGTTTTGGATTTATTCACATTTAGAGTTAGTTTGTTGAAGTTTCATCCATCTTGCAACTTCAGTATTCACTCTGGACTGGAGCACATTAAAAGACTTATCACTATCAAGAAGGTTTGTGTCGTTCGCGAACAATTTTCATAATAGTGTGAAACTGCGTGCGAGATCATTTATATAGATCAAAAACAGAGTCGGTCACAAACAAGAACCCCGGGCGACCCCGTGGGTCACAAGCAAGACAGAGTAGCAATATTGTGTTCTATTATCCCCCTTTTTACCATAATGCCACAGCTTGTAGATCAAGATCTTGTAGTTGACGGTATCAAGAGCTTTTGCATTATATATTGTCCTTTTAATTAGATTTATGTTATTTTCTAAACTTGGTGTTTCGGGGGCATACAGCATTTACTCCATTTTGTCCATTGGTTGATTGTCGTCTTCATCATCATAGTTAATTTATCATATTTTGGTTGAGTAGTGGGTTTCTCATGCGAACTGCTTGAATATCCCAATACATCTCCAAGTCGATAGTCTACTGTAAAAGATTAGATAACCGCCCTACTTTTTTGGTATTTTGTGTCCTTATATTCGAGCATTATCTTTGTAATTATTGAAATGATCAGATAACATATTTTAGTGTACGTCGCAGAAGCTATTGGTACTGTTTAGTCATTTGCATTCGTATCCATATAACCGAGCATTACTCTCTTGCAATAGTCACAATCTTTAGAGAGACTTATTTCGTGTTATAATATCCAGGCATTTTAGCTACGTTGAAAAATGTCAAACCCGGTTGGTATTTGACTTAGCCTATGTAATTCAAGTACACAGAAATTTAACTGATATACATAGGAATACAAATAGGTTAGTTCATTCTTCCAGTTTTTCAGATTGGAAAATCCTAGCAATATTTCAATTCCCATTAAGGGATATTTTACATTCTTCACGCAAACTATACTCAAATACAGATATGAACTATAGGCAGTGGCGGCGCGTCAATAGGAATGCATATTTAGCGGAGATTATACCGAATGTACTAAAAATAAATAATCCATCATGGGAAAAGGTGATAAAGGAAGTGGCAAAGACCTTATCACAATCTGAACCCGATTATTCGGAAATGGTGGACAATTTCAAAAGAACATACGACCCTGCTACGAAGAAGCCTCTAGAATTAGTAATGGATGACATTCTGTCTAAACTAAATATAGTAAATCATAACGAAAGGTCGTCAAATAACTCTCATGGTATGAGAGTGTTTCAATGGATATTCGACAACTCGACGCCGATTCTACGATTGAGATTAGCAGGAGCAAGAGATTTCCCATGGGAGGTTATAAAAACCATATTGGGTGAAGATCAAAGGGATAATATGGGCATACAACGGAGATTAAAACAACAAACAAAGAAAACAGAACCGATGAAACCAGTTACGACACGCTCAAAATGGAAAACACAACGTGAGGAACAAAATGTGGTTCAGAGAAATAATGATGAAGAGCAAGGAAGCACACCCAATGCGTCAATGCCAAATAATAACTATACGCCGAGGAGGCAAAATTATAACTTAACCCCACGGAGGTTATTAACCACGCCAAATCCCAGAAATATATTCATGTCCCCCATACCACGACAAATAACGCCATATCAAGAAACACCCTCTTCAGGAAGAAGTAATGGAAACAATTATCCCAGGAACAGAAACCCCAGAACGCCAACATTTTCAGATAGAGGGTCATTCACACCTTCAAGTCGAGAATGGAGACAGAGTACGCCAAACGATCGAACAAGAACCTCCACCCCGCGACAACCAAGTTATCCAGGAAGTAGTAGAGCAACTAGTATGACTAGCAATAGGGGAAGTAATGGAATGACAGAAATAACCATTGAATCGAATGGGACAACGTCGGCGTCAACACTCCCAAGACCAACTACAAGGGATGTGTCCACATACCTATATGGTGACCCTTCATTTGCGACTAAAAATTTATGGTCACCACTATATGATCCACCGATAGCCACATTTTGCGATGTTTGTGCCTTTTATGGACATACTGCACGGAACTGCATCATAAAGGATTTGTTGCAGGCCAATATAGAAAAAGTGGTTCGATCAAAAGAAACATCTATGCTAGAGATTCAGCAAAAACCTGAAACTGAGAGAAAAAAAGCAGTTGGCTAAGCAAGCAATGCAACGAAGTGGACACATTTTGTTGCAGCTAGGAATAACTGATATCCCGATGTTGAATCGATACCTACGAATGAATTTACAAAGCGATCCTCTAGTGCAAAGAATAGAAAAACTACGGTCATTGTCACAAAAGCCAGGATATGATTTACAAAAGTTCAGAGGGGGAATGAATTTAAGAGATATCCAATACCCTAATAACCAGGAAAACTAACTCAGCCCTTGTACAAACTAAGGAATTTGTACAAGGGCAAGGAGGTATACGAACAAACAGAAAATAAAACTAACAATAGTGCAAATTTAATAGATTTGCTAAAGGAAAGCACTTACAATGAATTCGGCAATTATAAATATAGGAAAAGAAAATGTCTCATAAATTTGAAAAAGTAGGAAGAGCAAATGAATACTAGTTACGAAAATCAGCAATTTTTTATTGAGAAGACTAAATGTGAAGTACATCATTCAAGCAAAATATAATATCTCAACTACAAATTCTGGGTATTTAAATATTAGCTTATAATTTATATTAAATTGATCAAATTGAGCCAAACATTCATCCACTGAATTGAAAAAATTTAATTATTCAAAATTATTATATCTTTATATATATACAAAAAAGTGTAGCAAAAACCAGGAACCTTTTTGATGCAAATATTTATTGAAATGATATCTGTCATATCCAAAGCATTTTAAACAGTATATCTGTTCGGTTTCTTGCACGAGTAAAGTGTATGAAATCTTTTATTGGATTATAAATGAGGATCTCAAATGATTGCAACTTGCTATATCAATTTGGTATTCATTAAATTTATTTATGTGTGCAGCCCTGTTTTTTTGAGTTTTTCCAGATAAGATAGATTATCCAATTTTCTTGATACGATGGTATGTAAGCTATTTCTTTGGAAAATGTTACTGAGTACTTCAATTTATTAAGTGCATTTTCGAATAATTTCTGATATTGGGGATGTCTTGCTGCGTTTCCATGACAAATGTAAATACCGTTCTCCTTCAGAACTTCCATTGAAAGGTTAAGAAGTTGTCTGAGAAAAATCCATTTATTCCCTTCATTTTTCAAGCTTACTGGAATTGAAGTTATGTCATTTATGATAACATCAACTTTTAACCTATTTTTCACGGCTCTTTTGAGATATTCTTCTGCATCTTCAATAATAATTCGATAATTTTTCCCAGTCATAGAATCTAGGACATCACCACAAATTGGTCGAAAGTACAGTTTTGTAACATCAATCATTCGCTGATCATAATCTACGGCTGTTATCATGGACGCTCCAAGATCTTTGATTCTTCGTACAATACACCCATCGCCTCCTCCAAGAATAAGTACAGTTTTATTTGTATACTCCACTCTTCCAAATCCAGACAAAGCGTACGAAAACGCTTCGTAGTCGGTTTCCCCAATATTTGTATCATTATCACAATACAGGCAATTTCCAAATGCAACTGAGTGTAAAATCCGTATATGTTGTTTTGATGTAACTTCATCAAACACTACTTTGTCAAAATCTTTTTCAACGATGAATCCCTCACATACATCGTAACATGAAAACTCTCTACCTCTTTTCAATGGAGGAAGACTATCATACCGAGGTGTTTTCGGAATTTCTGCAAACTCTAATTTTCTTATGTCTTCATCTACCTTATTAACAAGAGCTTTAAATTCGGGATTATCTATGTTTGTAGTGTGTATATCTAACGTGAACAAGCCTTCGTCTGCTTCTTGTAATAAGACTTTCAATCTATTGCTGTTTGCGTAAAGGGCTGTAATCTTTTGTCTACTTTGAAACACAAGCTTGCAGTTTATGTCCATCGTCTTTATAAGCTTGCTTATTTCATTTATAAATTCTTCTCTCTTCCCACTCATTTTAACATTTATTCTAAATTCAAGTAGCCATGAATCCATTCTTCTAGATGGGTCTCGAACGATTATGGATATGTAATAGAAACCTGAATAATTTAGAAAAGACCAAAATGAATAAACCAAGCATGATGAAAAAATTTGAACGGCGATATACGACTTATTCGCCACAGCCCCACACCCCTACTTTACAAGTGTCATTTTGAAGATTTTGTTAGTATTTCCCTCCACATACGTACAATATCTACACTTATTTGTATTCAGACAACTTTGTTAATGCCTTCATTTATTGATTACAAATTACATATCGTCTCATAGTAACATCATTTGACAGTATTTCAGGCAACTATTATTTTTCCGTTCCAACATGCTGAAAACCTTCAAACTTTATATTTTGTTTATTTTCTTTAAAATATATATATATTTTATTCAATGCAGTCAACCAACAATTTATCAATCCAGTATATTACCTTTAGCGACATGCAATATACAACTTATTTACTTGGAGATGTCTGGCACAAGCGATAACTCTCAAATTGAGCCGATGCGTTTTGTACATATTACAATACCCTTACAAGACCAGTTTCAATATTTTTGAACCCATAAACATTTGCACCCAGGACAATTGTACCTGCATACTTTTGCACCCGCAGTCATTTGAACCCATGAAAAATTGTACCCATACATTTGTACACGCAGATTTTTGCATCCAAATACATATTGCACCCATGAACATTTGCATCTATGTACATTTGCACTCATGTACATTTTCACTCTTGGACAATCGCACCCATGTACATTTGCACCCATGGAAATTTGAACCGATTCATTTGCTCCCGCATACATTTGCACTGACGTATATTTGCACCGAACTACAGTTGCACCGACGTACTTTAGCACACCCACGTACAATTGCAATCGAAAATGTCCGAGTTCAGTTTACGGGTTCGCATGTATGGGTGCAAATGTACGTGGGTTCAAATGTACTGTCACCATCCTAACCACTTTAAAAATGATCATTAAACCCTTCATGTGGTCCCGACCATTGATGAAGATTCTTGAAGTTCCGAATAACGTATCCATTGAACTTTGAATTTGCTAAAATCTAAATTCAATCCTTGTCGAGTTTGAATAGTGTGTTAAACTGAATTCATTTCAAATTACTATACAGCCTTGCTTCTAGAAAAATTATTTGTCAGAAACCGTAGAATGGGGTGGAATTTTATACAATTACAACTGCAAGTTATTGATAACTTGTTACTGTTCATAAGAAAGTGGGTAGATATGTTAAATGAAATAATTACAAACAAAATCTACTGCATTCCACCCAGTCTATCCATCAATCAGCATTTAAGCTGATTCACATAAGCAATCAAACTGCAAAGCGCTGTGGTTTCACTATCCATAGTTGGCCAAAATTAGTCGACGCCGACAACATCCGCTTGTCACCGTCCTCATCTAAGGTCTAAACTCTCTTGGCAACTAAAAAGCTACCTTTCCTACTTTGGCGAATATCGTTCTACCTGTTCAGTGAATCATCAATATTGACAGTTTTTAAAAGCTCATATCAATTCCAAGTATTTGCCTCACAGCAATTACAAATTCTGTTGGGAACATGTCTTCATAATACCTAAAAAATAAAATTGTCATCCATCTTAATTTTCATAGCTGATTGTTTGAGCCTTTCAGCATTGATTTGTCGGTGAATTTTTTTAACACACATATTTTATATATTTGCATAAGCCATGTTATTGATTTGTGATAAAGTTGTGACGAATCGGAAAAGGTAATAGGTTTTTGTGACACGCCAATATGTCTGAAACAAGTCACGAGTGTCTGGGTAAGTTCGAGTTGTTAACACAGTATCAAATCTGATCGACTCTGATTGAAATGTCATTTGTTGGAAGCATAAATAATATTGCAAACACATGACCACCTGCAAGTCACGCGGCATGAGCTCAAAGAGAATTCAAACATGAATTCACATAAATCGAGGTGCCTTGATTGATATCAATTTCATGTGCTGAGATGAGCTCAGAATGTTCTCGTGATATACCCCTCTGGAGGAATTCTTGTAGAGAACAATGTGTAAACACGATATTCAACCCTCTTTCAAAGGTATTGGGTGATTTTCGGTGTGTTTTAATTCCTGTTTGCATGCAATAACACTATGAATAGCTGAAAATCATGTCTAGTTTAAAAAGAATATCGCTCTTTGTTTCAAATGTTTACAATTCAAACACTTGTAACTGCAGAATACCTTCATGATGTTTGAGCTCCTACAACGTAGTTTCTTACTAACTTAAATTTGGCATTTCTAACATTTTCAAACTATACATGGATCTTGGGATCATCATCATGAATTGAGTTTGCTTTTCTTACGCTATGCAATCTGAGAGCTGTATACCCAAGATCCAGAGATAGATAGACGCATGGCATAAAACACTGCTTCTGCCTCATCTAGACTAGATTACGTTAGTGGTTCTTCCATTGTTGTTTCCATTTTTTCTTCTAATGCGTGAATAGTAAAACCAATGTATTATTTTAATATATTAACCAAAAGTAACGACTCAGCATCATGCACCTGTTGAGAATAGTTCTCGCTCTTTTTAAGGTCGCCATCCCCAGTCAAGAAACCTCGAAATATACACCATCATGTTTTATTGTGCTTTGAGAATAAATTATTATTTGTCTAACAACTAGGATGAATACAAGAACGCAGTTGTCGTAGTAGCTTTTTTTCTTGTAGCTCATCGCATGTTGGCAGTCTTCATATTAAAGTAAATATTTCCAGGAAAGATCAGGCAGCCATTAGTACAGTATTTCTAAGGATTTTATTGGATCGGTATCAGATTTCTCATTTTTGCATCTTGAAAGGGATTCTTTGCCTTTCAAAACTTCCCTGCGCGAATGGCTTAAGACGCTTGACTTTTTAATGTATACAATATTTTGTCATTATTATTATTTTGTTATACATTATCGTGGCGGGGCGTGCTCCGATGATCCGAGCTTATTAACCTTTTAAAAGTTAACACCATCAGTGGTACATCCTGTCAATCAACGGTTCCAACGTGAAGACATACTAGATGGAAAGAAAGTTATTATATTGCTGGAAAAGTGTTGCGCAACTTCAGAAGTTGAAAATAATGAGTCCGATATATTTTGTCGGTAGTTTAGTAATACCACTGTATCATTTCGGATAAGTAGCATGTATACTGTAAAACAACCGACATAGTTTAAACCAGGGGGTGCAACTTTTATCACAAGAGGGCCAAAGACAAGTAACTGGGTGAAGCCGCGGGCCGCGCCTAGAAACTTTACCTACAAAAGGTTTTGGATACGAAAGATCCAAATTACGAAGATTCTTATCGTAAAAATACTGCTTCGGCAAGCGTAAGATTTTCTACATACGGAGGGCCGAAAACCAAAAACGTAAAAAGCGGGTGTAGTGATGTTTATTTAATTTAGGGTAATTTGGATGTCCAATTCGAATTTAATAATATCGAATAACGTGACTGTCAAATATCGTTTTCCGTGTTTATGAGAGTACCTAATATGTCACACATATCCTAGCGCCGCCGTCCACATTTCAATATGACATATTTTACAATTATTTCATATTTTAGGGTAATCGAAGGCAGCCGTATTTCATTAGTGTGCGCTCATTTTCGTACATTACGTTCTCTCTCAGCGGTCAACTTTTGCAGGCTCTCACTCTCCACGGTCTTCGTTTAGCCAAGTTTTTCCTGTCGTTGCAAGCACAAAAAAATTGTTCTTTTTTGTTATTGATATTACGGCATTGTTAAGGGTCCTTGCAGTAATGTTGAGTTGAAACGCATACATTCAGTAAAAACCACTTTTTATAACATTGTGATTTTTGCAACAGGATTTTGCTAGCTAGTTTTGCTTATACGACAGTGACACTCAGGTACACATATATACGCTTTGCAACACAAAGAGATTGAAATTGCTCACACGTACCAAATAAACTAAAAACTCGTTTCGCGGGCACAGTATTCAAAATTGGCACTTCTCCGCGAGCCTTACAGTTTTTCTTTGCGGGCCACATTTGCCCGCCTGCATTTAGCCCGCGGGTCGCAGTTTGCACATCCCTGGTTTAAACCTAAAGAATATTTTCTTTATATCACCTAATTTTGATTACCGTTACATAGGCCGAGACTAGATTAGAGATATGTGGTTCGATTCTTTCTTGGATGTTCACCGAGTTCAAATATCGTGGCATATATTCAAACTGGTGCCAAACGTTTTGGAAGTTCAGAGTATCTACGGGTACAATAAAGAAATCGAAGATTTATTCAGGTATCACGATAATTTGGAAAGGAACATGAAATTGGTCGCAACTTTTTTTTCTGTTCTAATTTCAAGTATAAATATTTTGTAATATTGTAAACATAAACTGTTTGGATGTTTAATTTTCTAGTATTATAAGAACGCGTATTTGATTAGTTGAATAATTCTGGAATCGAAGAATAAAAAGTATAATCGGTTGTACACTTAATATCAAGTTGATATTGCATATTTCAAGTCAAAATTCTAACTCAAGAATCTGTTCCAACACTCTACCTTTGCATCCATTTTGCTCAACAGTATGAAATACATTGTACATATGCTTCTCATACCTAACTCTCACTAACAAGTTTGGGAATCCTTTCTGAGCAATATCACACTTTGATATAATTGAGCGTTCAACCCAAATGCGTTATTATCTTCTTGTCAGTCGCAGTTATGTATATATCGTTAATACAAAACTGAATGTGAGCTTATACAACGCGTGACAGAATTGAAAACTATATAATTAATCCATATTATCTAATTTGTATTTCCATTAATTTATTGTTCATGGTAGGGCTACATGGACGGGAAGTACATTCCCTGAAACCGCAACGAACCAGGAAATTCAAGTCAAAACTCGACTGAACCCGAATAACTAACTATTAATTTGAAAGCTTCAATTATATATGGCCAAATCAAATCTCAAAATATTGTTTGAGTGGTGTTTGAATATTTCATCTTGTAACTTGGGTTAGCAAGTACCAG